CACAGGGTCTTGACACTGGGATTCACACCAGCCTTGAGCACCCCGAATTACCAACAAGCATGTAACCAGCATGCACAGGGAGCTCTTCAGAACTGAGCAAGGAACCTTCCAGTATGAGGCCGACTCACAGAGTGTCTTGTTTTACCAGTGCACCACTCTCTGGCCCCCTTACTTTCTTTGAAACGCATTTTAAAAAACAGATTGTTGGAGGGACAGAAGCATGGTTAGGTACTAGCTATGTGATAACGCATATACAGGAAGTGCTACTGGTGAGCTCTAAGTAGGAGGTGGGCGGGTGTACCTTGTACGTATGAAAATGTTCACCATAAATTGGTGTGGTGGGGTAAACATGACGGTCCTATTTTACAGCCTCCCTGAACATCAGTAGGCTCTTTGAAGATTAAAGATTATGCCTTTTTGGGGACCAGTAGATAGCATAACAACTATGTTGTTGGACTCATGTAGTTGACAGCAGTTCGCGTCCCGGACCTGGTGGCTTAAACTCACGCCAGGTGCGTGTGCATGCGTGCCCAAGATCCCGAGAGGAGAATGGAGGAGAAGGGATTGTGGCGTGGCCATCACCCCTGGGGGGTGATTTCTCGCTTTCTGTCTCTCTCTCTGTCTGGCGAGCGCACGTGCCCTATAGCAAAAATCCCTCCAAATAAAAAATAAGGCCTTTTTAAAAAATTGGCATCACAAAGCCTGTCTTTTGGTAGTGCTAAAAATAAGCTCTATATGGCTGGACAATGAAGGAAACACCACCTCAGTGGCTCAGCATTTCCCACAGTGTGTGTGTGTGTGTGTGTGTGTGTGTGTGTGTGTGTGTGTGTTGGGGTGTTATGGAGCCCTCTAGTGGCGAGGGGTGTGCATTGCACCCCTCAGGACTGGCTGTAAAAGCTCCCAGCTCTGGCCCCATCAAGGATGTGGGTTGGACTTCCAGCACTGAGAATCTTGAAGACTTAACTGCTCCGCCTACTGCCAAGTGAGTGCACCTACTATAGGTGAAAACTGAGCTGAAAATAACAGTCATGTGGACAGAGATCCTCAGTCTTCCCTCTAGGTTAGAGTCTGAGAGAAGGAAACCATGGCTTCAGATTCTCCGGTTCAGAGCTGCAAGCTGGGATTGTACCAGGAAGGACCCTACAATTCTCACTTCAAGTATCTCGGGTTAGTAGACACGGGCAGTAAAAGCTGAGGGTGTCCAGGTGTCCAGGGTGGGGGGGGGATGAGGAGGAAAGAATGGTGTGAGATGGGAGAGAAGATTGTGGCTTCACTGTTCCCCTAGGGAGTGCTTTTTCATCCTGCCCCCACCCCCGTCTCTCTCTGGCAAGTACATGTGCCCAAAAACGCAGTAACGAAGGAAGAAAGGAAGAAAAAAGGGAAGAAAGAAAAGAAGAAAGGGAGGAAGGAAGGAAAGAAAGAAATGTTGGCAACTGATGGGCTATACCTTATTGTTTATGTCAGGAACTCAAGAATGCTGGGAAGAGACCAGCAGTTAGCGTAATGGCTATGTGGTTGGACTCCCACGTAGTCAACCGCAATTCAAGTCCTGGACCCGTTGGCTTAAACTCACGCCAGGCGCGTGTGCGTGCGTGCCCAAGATCCCGAGAGGAGAATGCAGGAGAAGGGATTGAGGTGTGGCCATCCCCCCTGGGGGGGCGATTTCTCGCTTTCTGTCTCTCTGTCTCTCTGGCAAGCGCACGCGCCCTATAGCAAAAACCTCTCCAGAAAAAGAAAAAAAAAATGCTGGGAAGAAGGAAGTTTGAGGACAGCTGAGGACTGAAACTGACCACTCTTTGTTCTCTTGTTCTCAATTTTTCCTAGAGGCCTGGGAAGGGTGCTGCCCGTTACCAGGCAGCTAATCTTGCTGAAGCAGCCCGCGTGGGTCCAGTGATGGTGAGAGGCTCCCACGTCCTGACGCTGGCACATCATCACCTGAACGGGTCGCGAAGCCTTCTTCTCTCTGTTCAAGGTAAACGCCAACATTCTCATCTGCTGAGTGTGATTCTTTTTGAGACAAGGACTTGTGCTTTCTACTAATTACTAAAGGAAGACTTTCTAAACCCACCTAAACCCTGTAAACTCCTGCTTCTAGATCTCCTGCCTTTTGGGGCCAGGCCAACAGGAACACTGCACGTGTTGGTCTACACTTCTGCTCGTGTCTTCTGTTCTCAGAGCTAAATAAAAGAGTTGCTGGGACCAGCAGTTAGCGTAATGGCTATGTCGCTGGACTCACATGTAGTTGACTGCAGTTCGAGCCCCGGACCCGGAGGCTTAAACTCACACTGGGTGCATGTGCGTGCGTGCCCAAGATCACAAGAGGAGAATGGAGGAGAAGGGATTGCGGCGTGGCCATCCCCCCTGGGGGGTGATTTCTCGCTTTCTGTCTCTCTGTCTCTCTCTGTCTTTCTGGTGAGTACATGCACCCTACAGCAAAAACTTAAACAAAAGAAAAAAAAAAGAGTTGCTCTTTCTAAGCCCCCAGGAACATTTTCTTAGGACTTCCAGAGATTGTGCCTATGGGCCATGGGCACTAGTTATTTTGCTATAAATAAACCTCTGAAAAGATTTTTATAGAGTTTGGTTATTTCCATTGACACATAATAATCCTGTAATCCTTCTGCAGTACACAGTTTGTTGTCTATAAAGTAAATATACTTTTCTGGGCACTAATCCCGATGGTGTTGGGCAGACCCAAAATCTCAGGCTTATGCTTTATGGAGGCCTGTTCGGTTTAAATGGGCCTAGCCAGTGACGACATTTAAGGCAGCTGGAGCCCATGTGGTGGGCTGTGCTATTTGAGGCCTGGGTCCAGCAGCTTGAAAAACATGCCAGGTGCATGTGTGTGCACGCCCAAGATCCAGAAAAGGAGGGAAAAACAGAAGAAAAGGGATTTGGGCAAGACCATTTCCCATAGAGGTTGTTTTCTCACTTTCCCTGTCTCTGTCTTTTTCGGTTAAGCACACACATCTTTTGGAAAATAAAGGAAAAAAAACAAAGAAACTGAAATTGCTGGGACAGTTGGTGGCGTGGTGGATGAGGCGGCTGGATTCCGCATGGTCCACTGCAGGTTTGAGTCCCAGACCCTAGCTTGCAAAACACACTAGTGAATGTGCATCCATGCCCCCCACCCCTCCATTCCCAAAAGTTAGGAGAAATGGAGAAGGGATTGTGGTGTGACCATCACCAGTGTGTGTGTGGGGGTGTTTTCCACTTTCCCTAAACTTGTCTACCTCCTCCCAGCAAGTGTACATACTCTCTGGCAACATTTTTTAAAAATTAAATGGATCTTAGACCGTTCTGGACTGTTTTTCTTTCACACTTTAAACTTATTAGATGGTAGTATCATAAACTTTTTAGTGTGTAAACCCCTTAAAGGTATACAATAGATCTGCAGAGTTTTCCTGATCCTTGTTGGGATGGTTACGTCAGTACAAAACATGACTTGTTCTCTTTTTTTAACTTGCCATAGGGGCATATGCACTTGCCAAGGGACACAGAGACTGATAAAGCATCCCTCAGAGAAGAATGGTCACGCCACAATCCCTCCTCCATCTCTCCCTTCTGCTGGAATTTTGGGCAAGCACACACAACAACTGGGCATGTTTTCCAAGCTGCTAGGCTTAGGATTCAAGCCTGTAGTCAGCCAGGTGGAATCTGGCTCCCTTACCCACCAGGCCAGGGGTGCCCAAAGCACCTTCATACAGTATGTGGTAATCGTCCATGGAACCAATTTCGTCCTTGTAGAGCTTCCAGGTCAACCATCTTCCTCATTTAAGAGAGCTCCCTGTTATTTCTGGTGGCTTTAACTGAGTGCTCTCTCAGGAAGAAATCCTCACTAGCTATGCAAGGACGTGGAGGTCTTTCCTTCTTTTCGAATGGCTTGTATGTCCATGGTCAGGACTTATTTGGCCATGACCATTTGTTTAAATATATTTTATTGTAGATGGAAACATTTTACCTCCTCTTCAATTTTGCAACCATTTGCTGAGTGCATATTCTGTGCAGGCGCCATCATAAGTGTTGTCAATATATTAGTGATTTAATTCTAAAAACCCTATGAAGTAGGCACTGTCATTACCTACATTTTATAGATAAGGACACTGAGGCTCAGGGAGATCAAGATCACTCAGTTAATAAATGACCGTCCAAAGCTTGAGTCTCTCTCTCTCTCTCTCTTTTTTTTTTTTTAAGAGAGGTTTTTGCTATAGGGTGCATGCGCTCCCCAGAGAGACAGACAGAGAGACAGAAAGTGAGAAATCACCCCCCGGGGGGGGATGGCCACGCTGCAATCCCTTCTCCTCCATTCTCCTCTCGGGATCTTGAGCACACACGCACATGCGCCCGGCATGAATTTAAGCCACCGAGTCCGGGACTCGGACCGCGGACCACTACATGAGAGTCTAGCGACATAGCCATTATGCTAACTGCTGGCCCCCAAAGCTTGAGTCTCTTAAACTCTAAGTCTTCTTGCTTTTCTTTCCCAAAGCCACTAAGAACAAATATTTGAAACAATTATTCATTTGCATTTCAATCAAAATAAAATTAACTAAAGCTCCTATGCTAAAACCCGATGCAGCTCATCTCCACACATTTAATCCTTACAACTACCACAAACCTAAAAAATATCAGAGCTCTGCGGTATTGACTTAACTAGGGGCAGCTCGTAACTGGCGGAGGCACGACCCGAACCGCTGAACGCAACACCAAACCCAGGGACCAGCTGTCTCTCAATGAGTATTGCTCTTCCGGCCCATCGCTCCCGGAAGTCCCGCCTCAGACGAACGACAATTTCCGGGAAAAGTTCGCACAGGGGAAAACGGAAAGGGACGAGGGGCGGTGCCTCTCGTGACGCTCTAGCATTTTTCCACTCTATGGCCACCGCCAATTGACAATCCCGAGCAGCAAAGCTCCTTTCTATTGGATGCGCAGCCTCGCGTAGGCGGGCAGTACGGTTCTCCGTTCGCTGATTGGCTGATCCCACCATGCGGAGCCGAGGGGTGGTGCTTGGGGCACGCGGACGGAGGTGACGGGCTGCATTCTCAGCCCAGGTGGAGACCGGTGCATGTGGGCGCTCCGTTCGCTGCTGAGGTCCGCGGCCGGGCGCGCCATGTCCCAGGGACCCGCCCGCCGCCAGCGGCCGCCCCAAGACCCGCTGCGCACACTGGGC